ATTTGCACGATGAATTTCACATCAAGTCTCACTTGATCTGCACTTTGATGTTCCAATATGCATATGTTATAACTGGAATCACCCCTGTAACACTAGGGAAGAATAATGGATAACAATACAAATCTGCTTCACTGTTCTATGTCTGCTGCTGTCATGTTCCAACAGAATGCCCTGGATAACACAAATGGTCTCTAACTCAGCTGCTAATACAAGTGGTGCATCTCTGGTATGATATTGTAGGTGAATGAGGTGGAAAATCATGGTGTCAGTTAGCTACAGTGACTAATGGTGTCAGTTAACTGCAAGCTACAGTTTGGGTTTTTTTTGAGTGAAATAGATGATGGAAAACATTGTACTTCTGGTCCATTGCTTTCTGATGTTTCAGGATGTCACTGGTTGCAAGTCTGTAGCAGTGAGAGAGAAGGATGGAGAGAAAAAGTGCATTTAGTGAAAGAAGTCTTGACTATAGTGTGTCCCCTGGTGGTAACATATTGACTTCCTTCTTGGTTTGGAGCTGCAGTGATGTGAGGGTAAGTGTGTGCTCAGAATGCTCAGACAGTGGGAGAGGAATGTTCTTCCAAGGCCACAGCCTGTGGAGTTCAACTTGGAAAACTGCACAACATGTAATTGCTAAGGCACGAAGACACCACTTTTTCATGGGTAAGGGAACAGGGAGCTCAGCTCTAACAGAACAAGCTTTTAACTGATGGAAAATGTGGATCTGGTGAAAATTCAGCTTACCTGAATGGCAGGTTTAAGGCTGACCAGTTGCTCTTTTAAAAAGTGGAATATTCATTGTTATAACTGTGTAAAACTCTGGGAAACCACCTGTAGTGCTCCTAGTTGGCTGTTTCCAGCCAGTGCTGTCCCAGCTTTCTTACTGAAGTCTGAAAGGGAAGTTGAGGTTATTGATCAATGTACAGCCTGAAGTATTTCTTAAATCTAAAGCAACTAAATTCAGCAAATTTGATCATTATAAAGTGCCTTTGAGATAGTTTCCTTCCAGCCAACTCCAAATAGCTTTCTGCCAGAGCTAAAGGGGAAAAGCTCACACCTTGAACCAAAACCCAAGTTAGTTCTTTTCTAGTTCAGCTGAGGAGGTTGTCCCCACCAGACATCTGGTGGGGCTCAGTCCCTCACACACTCTGCCTAGTGTTGGTCTGAACTCTCAGACCTCTGAGACTTTTGGGAGTTTTGCTGGCAATGCTCCACTGCAGGGTACAAATGTGAACGAGGCACTTGGTAATGTAGTGGTGGTCAACACATTTCTAACTCTAAACAACTGCTCTTCCCTTTTTGTAGCATACTACAGTTGTGACCAAAACCCCCACCCCTCCCACCCTGCTGTCTTGTAGTGTATCTATTAACTTGAGACTCAAGTCTGCCAAGCATTGAACAAAAGGGTAAATGGAAACCCAACTCGTGTCCCTGGGAAGTGATGGTGTCACACCAGGCTTCAGGCTCTTCAGCAGGGCTGCATGGGAAGTTGGTGTGGTTCATGCTGTAGCTTTTTGTTCTGAGACTGGATTCCTTTCGATTGCAGTCATCCTGCACTCTTACACAAGCACAAACCGTGGTCTGGCTGAAATGGTGTCTGGAAAAGGTGCAGTCACTGCTTCACACCACTGTGTGGAGTGAGAATCTCCTGTTGAAGGTACTAACTAACAGAGCAGAGTAAGTTGCTGGCTAAGAGCTGACAGATGCCTTAATGACTTCCTGTGCTGGAGATCAACAGCTTGTACATCTGCTCAGTAGTGCTTATAACTAATGTGTAACAGTATGGGAGGCCGAGGCTGGATTTTTTTTTTTTTTTAGAGCAAATGTTACTAGGCAAGTCCTCTTTTCTGTAACCAGCAGAGGTGGGTACTGCAGCAAACTTGTCTCTAGAAAAATCAAAGCTTGTATGAGTGACAGAAATAACTCTGAACCTTCTAATACCCTCTGTGAAATAGAAAAGGAAGTCTTAGAACAATGGCATTTTATCTGCAATGTTTGTCTGGAGTCCTTGTACAAATGTATTTTTCCAATATGCATTACTTTGTTGTGTAATGATTCTACTTGTAATAAAATGCAGAACTAGATAAGTGCATCGTGAGGTGAAGCCTTGCTAAGGAAGTACCTGCTCCTGGAGAGACAGCTCTGCAAGCTATCCTGCCAAACCCCATGGCAAACCAGGGATCCAACATCCAGCTGGGCATGGCAACTTTAGTCTTTGTTCTGAAATTATTCCAGGTATTCATTTTCATGTTGTGGAACTGCTACACCTGTTGTCTTGGCTGACAAGCTCTGGTGTTCTAGTTTGTACCATGTAGTCATCTCAATGCCTTATACTACACTTACCTATAACCATTCCTGGGAAACAATCCAAACTCCCCACAGGGCAGAGCTGGTTCATGGGGAAAAGCAGTGCTCAGCTCAGGTCTGGTTAGGGATGAGCTGAGCAGACTCCAAGTAAGCTACACATAGTGCACTCAGCTGTGTCCTGCAGGACAGCTCAGCCTCCTGGGAGAGCACAGAGCTGCTGCAGCTTCACGTCAGGAAAAGCAAAACTTCAGTGCAATAGCAAACCCAGCCAGGACCTCGAGGTGAGATTGTGATGTGTTAATCTTTTATTAATAAAACTTGCTGAAGTACAGCTGCACGGTGAGCTTTATTAGAGCACTCTGGGGTGACCTGAGCCCTCTCTAACTACCCCTCTCTTCTTCCCACCCTTTTCCACCATGGGAGCATCATGCTGAGCTGCTGGAGTACAAGCACAATAATCTTGGAGCACTTCAGGTCAGTGAGGGTGTCTCCTTGTTTGCTTTAATGGATGACTTATTCCTAGTGCAAGACAAACTTTTCCCCCCAGTGATTCCAAACACTAAACTGAGGAATAAGCTGTGAATTGGTTTTCAACCAACTTTAAAGCAACACCCTCCTACCCTGTTTTCCTGCAGCAGCTTATTTGATTTTTTTATGTAGCTTTTACAATCAAAACTATCCCCTCAGCACTATTTGCATAGTGATTGAGTGTTACAGCAAGATCAAACTTGCTCAGATGTTCCAGAGCTGGTCTACTGTTACTAGGCCTCCACCTGTGCCATTGGCTTGCCCTCACAAACTACTACTTACAGTATTTAAGCATCTGGAATTTTCTGCAACTTTACCTTTAAAAAGCTCTTTTAAATACGTTTGCCAGTAATTTTGGGGGATGATTTCACCTCTAAGAAGAACTTGTTTATAAAGAGGTGGTGTCTAAAAGCACTTTCACTGCCCACCACCTTGTGGAGGCAGTGAAACTGCTTTGCAGCTCCTTCCTGCACATTTTACACAGCTTTATCTTCTTGTTCTGTGCAATGAGTAGCTCATTCCACCCCCAAAGGTGGCACAAGCTGCCACACACATCCACCTACCCCTGGGCCTGGTAAGAGCTGGCACAGCTGCTGGCAGTGCCTGGGAGGGATTCTCTTCAGGGTCATGGTGGAAAAGAAACAACAGGACTTGATGGAAAAACCCCACAAGCAATTTATTGCAAATTATTAATTACACCCCCCAGTATTTATTACAACAAGCAGGTACATGTTTCAATTGCTGTATGGCTCCATCCCTGGCAGCTGTACCATCATCTCCACATCCCTGGTGAGAAGTGCTGCAGTGTGTCCTGCTGCAAGGAGTGATCACTGCTGCTTGAAGCAATGCTGCCCAACCTCCTGTAAGCTTGCTAATTATTGACTGATCACTTACATTGGGGGTCTCTCTTTAGAGGTGGTGGTAGCAAAAAAATGAGTGAGTTTATAAACACCTTCCAGCTGCTTAGAAATAGGTGGGAGCTGCCTTAAGGAAAGGAACTGACCACAGCTCAGCACAGACCTGTGCCTTGCTGGACTCTGTCTCTGGACACTTGGGTGTCTCTCTCAAGGCTCAGCTACAGCAGGAACTGGTTCTAAGAGCAGATTCTGTGAAAACCAGTAACTGCTTCCCTGCAGCCTGAGGTTTGTAGTGCCTGTCGTTCCCTTGTCCCTTCCAGCCCCACACAGCAATGGTAATAACCTGCCCAGCTCTCCTGGGAATTACTCACAGTACTGATAAAGTAAGTATGGATTTTAATGGAGCTGGGCCTTGTGAGGATACAGCCATCTCAGGTCTGGGCACAGACCAGAATGGAAACAGGAGGCAGATTATCAGATAGTCATGTTGCCACATAGGCAGTAACAAAAGCTATTTGAAACTACTCTTTCCTGATCTGAACAGTTTGAAAGTAGTGAATCACAGACCTGGAGGGTTAGGCTGATATAAAACAATCCTCATAGGTAGCTTCTACTGCCTTTTTGGCACAGTATCTAATACAAACACTGAATGAGGAAATACAGCTCTGGCCTTTGCCTTCTGTGCTCCAAGAACTTGATAAAGCTTGTGTGTACCTAAACTGCACAAGTTCCCAGGTACTACAACCCTAATAGGAGGAGAAATTCAGGCTTCTCCCTGCTACCTTTAAACTCTTTGGACTGACTCAGGTGCCTGGGAAGGAGCATCAGCACTACAATGCAGCAGGATCAGAGGAGTGTGCATGAACTGAGGTCAGTGGTGCTGAGCAGTTCCTGTGCTCACTCACCTCACAGAATCAGCTTAGAAAAGGCCTCTGAGATCACTGCCTTACAACACAACACACTGTCCCACCATCGTGCACACAAACATCTATTTCCTCACTGTACAAGAAAGCAGGTTTTAAATATAAACTTAAATATAATTCAGGCTGTGCATCTTAGTTTGTTGCCAGGTGTAAAACACCATAGGAATAAAGGAAGTCTCCTGTCACTGAGATTTTAGCCACTAACCAGGCTGAAGTGTTTCCTCCTCTCAGCTCCATCTCCTCCGTGCGTTAAAAAGCATCACAAATAACATGCAAGTGTTGTTGTTCCCTTCACACACAGGAGGAGGCGATGGAGCTCGAGCTGCCCACACGAAGTGCAACGTTTCACTGCAAGGACTCTCCCTGCGCTGGAATCCAGGCCCGGGAGTCATCCCACCAGGACACACTGCTCTGCCAGGGGGTGGCAGCCCTCGTACTCCTGCAGGTGAGGGTTGTCCAGGTCCCCTCTGGCCCTGTGCTGGGAGGAGGGTGGCTGTCCCCACGGGGGCCCTGTGCTCCTCACACACACACACTGACTCTCCTTCGAGCCGGGTCGGTACAGCTTCCGAGGGACTCCAGCCCAGTCTCTGCTCACTCCCCCACTAGGAATGGAAAATGACAATAAATTACAATTCAAACCCATGAAAATGTTTCCAGAGAAGAGAGAATCATTAGGGAAAAAAAAAACCAAGACAATCTGGGAGAATTAGAACTAACAATACACCCACTGAGGTAGACTTTGCTCCCAGCAGCCACCATCCCACAGCTATCTGATACCTCCTTATTGGCTGTGCTTCAGAAACCAGAGGCCTGAGCCTGGTTCCATCACTGCTGCTACAAGCTCTCACACTTCTGGGAACAGCCAACTTCTGCATCCCACACTTCCATTGCTGGAAAAGGAATCACAGCCTTATGCAGCACAGCAAAATGCCTTTTCTGTAGGTAGGTAATTGCTCACAGATAACCACATGCCCCCACAGAATCAGAGTGGTTTGGGTTGGAAGGGACCTTAAAGATCATCCAATCCAACCCCTGCCATGAGCAGGGACACCTTCACTAGACCAGGTTGCTCAAGGCCTTCTGTGCCTTGACTGAACACTGATTTTAAGAACTAGGGCAAAAGACTTTTCTGTAGTAATTGCTCACAGATAACCACATGCCCCCACAGAATCAGAGTGGTTTGGGTTGGAAGGGACCTTAAAGATCATCCAATCCAACCCCTGCCATGGGCAGGGACACCTTCACTAGACCAGGTTGCTCAAGGCCTTCTGTGCCTTGACTGAACACTGATTTTAAGAACTAGGGCAAAAGAAAAAAGGCTCAAGTACTTCCCCAACTACTTCAATTGTGTCTCTTTAGATCTCTTTCCAAGTGTCTCTCTAGGGACCTAATCCTGCCTGTTCCCTCAACCACTGCAGCTTTCAAGCCTGTAAACTCTTACACAAATTACTGCCACACAACACACAGTCCCAAGGCTGCACCCAAGCTCAGTCATACAGAGAAGCAGATCCCCAAGGTATGCAGTGCTGCAGGTGGATTGACATGAAGGCCAAGCATTTTGCAGTGTGGTCTGTGAAACAATTTCACCTTCAAGCAAAATAGGCCCTGAACTGAGAGAGGAACACAACTAAATAGGCCAGGTAGGAAATGACTGTTCAAAGCTCAACCTCATTTTTATGTGGTTTTAAGTGAAAACCATTGTGGCAGCAGCTTGTGGGACAGGCTGTGAAGCTGGCTGCAAAACACAAGCTAATTCCTGAGAGGTGAGAGAACCTGTTCAAATCCCAGTCCCAGTGGGATTTCTGTCCTGTTTTCCTGAGAACAGGAGGATCATGTGCACATGTGGCAAATTCTGAAGCCTAGTTTTGTTCCAGTGTGAGAGAAGAGGCTGTTGAGCCTGGAGAAAAGGAGGCTCAGGGAGGACCTTCTCACTCTCTCCAACTCCCTGCCAGGAGGTGCAGCCAGGT